TAAACTATTTTAGAGTGGTCAACATATTTTATAGTGGTCAACATAAGAGTCCCCACAAAGAGTTTGCAATAAACAACGTTGAACCCCCCACTAATTAACATGTGGGCACAATATGTCGTCATGTGTTCATCAAGATCTTGGAACCCATCAAATGGCTAGATCCTTGGTAGCATCAAATGTGCTAGTACTACTCCACCTTTAATCACCTACGAGAATGGTTGAAAAGCTCTCGGTGGCTCTACTCCTCTATCCATTCTCTGTAATAAAGTCATGACTTACGCTTGTAAAACTCCTTGAATTTCCTCCACTTTTTTCCTATAATCCTCGTTTTGTAGCTACATTGCTTCCCAACCCTCGTGATGGAGTCTTTCTACCTCTTCTACTCTTCTTTGGGCTTCTTTATTGTTCCTTCATAGGGCCTCCATCGTTGCTTTAATCTCTTGGAAAGTAGAATCGTTTCCTATGGCCTTGAGATCCTTTCTCCGTAACCTCTTCTTTTTTACCGCCTTTTACCGTGCCTTTTGACCCTCTTGTTACAAGATCTCCATGATTTCCAACAACGTAGGGTATTGTCACTTATAATCCCTGTGCCATTTGTTCCATGGTCTCAGAATTGTCAGTACTAGAACCTCCAACATTACTCCTTAACAACCTCATCATTGTGAAGCGCCAACATGTTCGAAAACCAAGATGTAGGAAATAGTATGTCCCATGGTGGACGCCAAATTATTTTGGTATGTGGAACGATTGCTAGAACAATTCAATTACTATCTCAACCTTAAACATTCAAAGAGTGTAACTTAATCCTAACATGAGTGTTTTCTCATATATATATATATATATATATTATGTGGTCAAAAAGTTACCAAAACCGAGAGCAAAGTTTGCCAAAATTTTCACTTCTTTGGCTTTTTCTTTTGCTATTTTCTTTCTTTTTCTTTTGCAAAATATTTTTCACTTATTTTTCTTTTGATATTCAGGAGTTTCAATGCCTTTTTATCACTTATAAGTCTCGGTTTCAATATAGAAAAACTGCAGCAAAATTTTTACACAAAACAAAGGTGTTCACATGCATGTTTCTTTTCTAGTGCTTCACAATTTTGTAGTATTTTAGGTCAAATTTTTAAGCACTTTTTCCTTTGTTTTTCTCATGCATTTAAGACACTCACACCTCTGTTTTGTCTCTGTTTTAAGGCTCAAAAAGTTTTAATAAGGTTTAGCCACTCAACAAGACACAAGAAACCTAATAGGAGTAGTGTTTAACAATTTTTTTTTTTTGACAAAACTTTTTAACAAGACATAATAGAAACCTAACTCTAAGAAATTTGCTAGGACTAATAGCAAATTAAGAACTCAATCATGTAAAACAAAAGCACATATGGTGAGGTACAGATTCAATAAGAAAAATACACAAAAATTTCGGACACAAAAACACAAAACAAAATTAGGTCAAACAAGCTAGTCTAGGAAGTTTCAACATATAAAGGACTACACATGACTTTCTAAGACAAAACAATTGATTCAAAAGCAAAATCTAACTCAATGCATGTTGTCCAATCACGGACACATGTGAATGAATGGAGAAGACTCAAGCAAATACAAAAATGCACAAGTTCAAGAGTACCTAAAAGCACAAAACCGAAAATGATTCATAAGAATAGGAACAAGCAAACATGAATCATTTACTTCATACTTGACATATAGGATCCATCAAAAATTGTATTAGAACTAGATCCATGCAGCAAACACAATTTTAAGACATAGAAAAGGAAGAATAGACAACACGGATTCAAGTAAGAAAAGTTAGAAACAAAAACCTCAAGAGCACTAGGCTCTAGATACCAAAAATGATGGAACTAGGTGAGGAGATTGATGATTCCTTCACTTGCTCCATGCTTAGGACCGTGAATGCTATTGAGGTTAAGACTCCAATGACTCTTTGAAGCTCCTTGAAGTGTTCTTCAATGGAGAAGAAGCCTTGA